TAACCTACTAACCACGAGGTATGGGCAATTCATCCCCTGTTTCAATTCGTCGCGTACCATACCCCATCATTTTTTAAATCATCCAGGTTAGTTTATATATATATATATATATATATATATATATATATATAATCTTTACAACCTGACCTGCCTCACCAACAATAATATATGAAACAGTCGGTGTCACACAAGTTTTTGCCTGTTTTATATTGTATTTAGGGTTTTGTTCCTATATTTTTTCGTTGTTGAGCATACCTAAATAACATATGGAAGGGTTCATGTGAAAATATGCTCTTACGTAAAATTGTGAAAATATGCTCTTACGTAAAATTAAAGGACGGATATGATTCATCTATCTAATTAATAGCTCAACTGCAAAGGGTTGCTAAAAAATTAAGGAAAAATGTGAATTCTTTCTATACATACTGAAAAATTAAAATTTTTTAATAATTATAAAATTGACCCTATATATTTTTAATAAAAAAATTCTCAATCATTGATAAATCTTGTATGAAGATATTGTTTTCATTTGATCATGCCCATATATATATATATATATATATAGAGAGAGAGAGAGAGAGAGGATCAAATGAGGACCATCCTTAAGTGACGACGTGAGAACTAATCTTGTGCATTCATTTTTTTTTTTTATTTGGATGGTCCAATCAAATTTGATATCCTAAGATGACATGGATTGATTTTTTTTTTTTTGGTAAAGTGGGTAGTAGTGTCTTTTTTTATTTTTTAAAGTGTGAACGCATATGTAATCCTTGGCCAAATTGGTTTTCTATTTTCTTGGATCATCACCGTTGCAATTTGGAGCTGCGTTTTTCATCATTGATTGAGTGTTCGCCCATGCAAAGTGCTTTGTTGTGTGCTTAAGGTGCGTGGTTTGTGTACTTATGGTGCGTGTTTTGTGTTCTTAAGGTGCTTTGTTTGTGTGCTTAAGGTGTGTGGTTTGTGTATTTAAACATACGCACCTTAAGAGTTAAACTGATGCACCTTAAACTAGAAAGTGACTCACCTTAAGCTTTAAACATACACACCTTAAGCTATAAACTTACACACCTTAAGCTCTAAACTTGCGCACCTTAAGCTATAAACTTACGCACCTTAAAACATACACATATCTTAAGCTATAAACTTACGCACATTAGCTATAAACTTATGCACCTTAAACTATAAAATTATGCACCTTAAATTTTAGACTTATGCACATTAAGCTGTGACCTTACGCACCTAACGCTATAAACTTACGCACCTTAAGATTTAAAACTTACACACCTTAAGTTGTGACCTTACGCAAAATGACTATAATGTCAGTACATTTTTTTAAATTGTTCTTCATTCTGAGCTGTTGATTTTGACAAGACCAAAGGTTGTAATTAACTCGCACATTTCACCTAGGAGAAGTTTCACACCTGATCTATTGTGTGTGTGTGTGTGTGTGTGTGTGTGTGTGTGTGTGTGTGTATTAGCACATTGGACTAATTGTGTCCAAGAATGTCAAAGTAAGTCGAAACCGACAAGTTGACCTACCCCGCTCTGCGATGGATAGGTTAGGACCCAAAAAAAAAAATTGCAAAAATATGAGCTTAACGGGCCCTGACCACTACGACCCGCAACCCATTCGGGTTAGCCCAAAGTACTAAAAATAAATTTGTATCGAGATTGATCTTACTACGTGAACTTTCGTCCAAGTTTACAATTATTATTGTGTGGACCATAGTACACACAAGTTGTGTGGACCATATTTTGTCTACTGTAAAATAATGTACATTCAATATAAAAATAATGTACATTGTATTCAGAGGATGTACATTATTTTTGTTCTGAGTGTACATTATATTGTATAATTTACATTCAGTACAAAAATAATGTACAGTTAGTATATTAAAAATGTGGTACACATAACATTGTGTGGACCATTTGCCCAAAGTTTAAGCAATGATATATGTCTCACCCCAAGCGTACTTGATTTCTGTAAAATGGGCTAGGCGTGATGTTTGGATCAACAGGCCCATTGGGTTTGTTCTTTTGGTCTGGCTCTTTTCACCTATGTAATTACTAATTCAGCATCAGCCCATTGAATTGTGCAAGGGGATTTTGGGCAATTTATATCGTGCACCAGGGCGCGCATTGCATTGTGCGCCCTGATGCAAAACGACGTCGTTTCAGGTTTGTTTTTTAAAAAAAAAAAAAATTCGCTACTCTGTGTTGACGGTTAATTTTCTTTAAAAAAATCTCATGTTTAAAAATGTACATAATTTTATACTAGAATACACATAATTGTATACATGAATGTACATAATTGTATAACAAAAAACACATACTTTTAAAAAAAAAAAAAAAAAAAAAAAAGATAATACACATAATCTAACATAATACATAATATACATAAACTTTTAACATAATACACATAAACTCTTAACATAATACACATAAATTTCATGTTTCGGATGTACATAATTGTATAAAAAGAAAGTACATAATTGTATAAACAAATACACATAATTGTATAAACGAATACACATAATCACATCAACTCCCTACATAACTTACCAAAACGATGTCGTTTTGAGAGGCGCGGGACGCACGGTGCTATGTGCGCCATGGTGCAGGGTATAACGATTGCATTATGCTGTGCAACCGTGTATACCATGCAAGGTGCACACGGAATTGGATCCATAATTTCTATACTATAGATCCATAATTTCTATACTATAAATCCATAATTTCTATATTGTAGATTCATAATATCTAAATTGTAGATTCATAATTTCTATACTATAGAATCATAATTTCTAAATTGTATAGTTATCAAATTATGAACATAGAGTTCAGTATTTGTGAATATAGAGTTCAACAATTGGGAATATGAACATTGAAAATTATGAATATAGAGTTTTGTAATTGTGAATATAGAGTTCAATAATTATGAATTTATAGTATAGAAATTATGAATCTATAATATATAAATTATGGATCTATAGTATAAAAATTATAGATCCAATTCCGTGTGCACCATGCATGGTGCACACGGTTGCACATCATAATTTGCCATCGTGCGAGGAGTTATTAATTATTCTATTGTTTTACCATGGATCAGGTATGTATCTGGCAAATTATACCATGCACCAGGGGCGCACAATGCATTGTGCGCCCTAGCCCAAAACGATGTCGTTTCTTACCTTTTCGCGTGTCTGTTGTTAACTCCTTAAAAAAAATTTATGTTTCGAATGTACAGAATTGTATAATAGAATACACAGAATTTTATACTTGAAAACACAGAATTTTATACCTGAAAACACATAATTTTATAACTGAAAATTCCCATGTTTAGAATGTACAGAATTATATAATAGAATGTACAGAATTTTATACCTGAAAACACATAATTTCATACCTGAAAACACATAATTTCATACCTGAAAACACAGAATTTTATACTTGAAAATTCCCATGTTTCGAATGTACAGAATTATATAATAGAATGCACATAATTTTATATCTGAAAATACATAACTTACCAAAACGACGTCGTTTTGAGAGGCGCGGGGTGCATATTGCTATGTGCGCCCTGATGCACGGTATAACGATTGACCATATACGGCAAATTATGTTGTGGAGCCGTGTCTACCTTACAAGGTGGACACGGTTCCAAAATTGTTCATAATTATGAATATATAGTTAAAATATTATGAACATATAGTTCTATAATTATGAACATAGAGGTATGAACGTAATTATGAACATATTGTAATTATGAATATAGAGATTCAATAATTTTGTGAATATGATGATGTTAAAAAATTACGAATAAATAGCTTTATAATTATGAACATAGAGTTATGTAATTGTGAATATAGAGTTCAATAATTATGAATATGAAGTTCAAAAATTATGAATATATAACTTTATAATTATGAACATAGAACTGTGTCCATCTTGCAAGGTGGACACAGTTCCACAGCATAACAATCCTACCATATACCGTGGATCAAGTTTCATCTTGTATTATAAATTCTAATCCAAAATTACGTTTAAATTATGTATTTGTTCCATCAAAAAATAAAATAAAATTTACTCCGTATGTATTTGTCATTAACATATAATATGTATGCACTTAATAAATTATGTGTATATAAATAAATTAAAGGCACATAATATGTTTAATTAAAACTTTTTATAATTCAAAACTTTTAACTATTTTTTTGTAAATAGTTTCAGAGTTTATTTCAATATATATATATATATATATATATATATATATATATATATATATATATATATATATATTCACTCTAATTTTGGTTACCCCATTCGGACAGCTCGCACTCTATATATACAAGAACAACATGCATGCATGCGATTTACGTAGTTGGATTGGATGAGAGTATTAGATTCACATGTGGAGAAATTGGCGCGAGAAACAGGCGCCGTAAAATGCTGGCATTGGTTCGGATTTGGGTCGGATGGAGCCCTCTCTCTTTCTCCTTTCCCTTCATTCTATTGCTTTCTTCTCTAATGTGTCAGCAGCATCCCCTGTGAGTTTCTCAATGTAGGTTCGTTTATATTTATATGCAATGTAATGTGTTCAGTTACCAGAAAGATTGCATTTTTAATTGAAGGGCAATCTTTGTTTCTTCATTTTTTTTGGTTCGTTGTATTTGTATAGGCCAGGGATCGATGATGTTTTTATTAGGATTTCTTTGCTCAGACTCGTGATGATTTGTGTGGGTTTGGATTGAATTGTTGTCAATGTTAGTTTCTTGGTGGATTTATTAGGTTAGTTTTATGATTTGGATGTCTTTAATTTCCCAATCTTGATATATTTGGCATTTTGGTATGAATTGAAGAAGGAAACTGAAGTTAGGGTCAAAAGGTTTAATTGAATCTTCTGCTTTAGGCAAATAAGAGAATAGTTATGGTTGTTGTTGTTGTTGTGTGGTATGCTTCAATTGAATTGAGCCATAACTTGAGGGAGCAAGCTAAGGGAAATGGCGAAAGGTAGATTAAGGGCGAGGATTCGCAAGAGCAATTTGTATACCTTTGCATTTAATCGATATCGAGCTGCCAAGGAAGAGGGGCCTCATAGGTTAGGCCCTGGGTATTCAAGAATTGTCCACTGCAACCAACCCCAACTTCATGAAGTGGAGCCACCTCTCCAGTATTGCTCAAATTACATAACCACAACTAAGTATACTTTCTTCACCTTCCTGCCTAAGGCTGTGTTTGAACAATTCAGGCGTGTTGCAAACTTGTACTTTCTCCTGGCTGCAATCCTGTCGCTCACGCCTGTTGCCCCATTCTCCGCCATTAGTATGATAGCTCCTTTGGTCTTCGTTGTCGGGTTGAGTATGGCAAAGGAGGCCTTGGAGGACTGGCACCGTTTCCTCCAGGATATGAGTATCAATCTCCATAAAGCTTGTTACCACAAAGGAGATGGCGATTTTGGTCATAAGCCATGGATGAAGATTCTGGTTGGAGATATTGTGAAGATTGAAAAGGATGAATTCTTCCCTGCAGATTTGCTTCTTTTATCGTCTAGCTATGAGGATGGAATCTGCTATGTAGAAACAATGAACTTAGATGGAGAGACCAACTTGAAGGTTAAAAGAGCCTTGGAGGTAACCTTACCATTAGAAGATAACATGACTTTTAAGGAATTCACCGCAACCATAAAATGTGAAGATCCGAATCCTAACCTCTACACTTTTGTGGGTAACCTTGAATATGGCCACCAGGTTTATCCTCTTGACCCTAGCCAGATTCTGCTTCGAGGTTCAAAGCTTCGGAATACAGATTATGTTTATGGAGTTGCGACGTTTACTGGTCATGACAGCAAAGTTATGCAGAACTCTACAGAATCTCCCTCGAAAAGGAGTTGCGTTGAAAGGAAAATGGACAGTATTATTTACATACTTTTCACTGTCCTTGTGTTGATCTCGTTCATTAGCTCAGTAGGTTTTGCTGTTATGACAATGCTCGAAATGCCAGAGTGGTGGTATTTGCAACCCGACGACAAAAACAATGTTCTTTATGATACTAAAAGGCCAGCATTGTCCGGGACTTTTCATCTCATCACTGCTCTTATATTGTATGGATATCTAATTCCCATTTCCCTCTACGTATCCATCGAAGTTGTGAAATTCATACAAGCATTGTTCATCAACAGCGATGTGCATATGTATGATGAAGAGACTGGAACTCCTGCTCATGCAAGGACATCAAATTTAAACGAGGAATTAGGACAGGTTGACACAGTTTTGTCTGATAAGACTGGTACGTTGACTTGCAACCAAATGGATTTTCTCAAATGTTCGATTGCTGGAACTGCATATGGGAAGCGTGCAAGTGATGTAGAACTTGCAGCCCGAAAAAGCTTGGCTATGGAAAGCGATATCTTAGACCCTGAAAGTAAACCTGATGGGAAAGTATATGGTGAATCTGAAATTGAGCTAGAGGCAGTCATAACTTTGAAAGATGAAAAAGACCAAAAACCGGCAATAAAAGGGTTTAGCTTTGAGGATAGCCGGTTGATGAATGGCAATTGGTTAAACGAGCCAAATGCAGATGTCATCCTGTTTTTCTTCAGGATACTATCGCTTTGCCACACAGCCATTCCTGAACTGAATGAGACTGGAAGCTTAAATTACGAAGTAGAGTCACCAGATGAAGGTGCATTTCTTGTTGCAGCTAGAGAATTTGGTTTCGAGTTTTATAATAGAACACAATCAACTGTAAGTGTTCGTGAGAGATATCCTTCTTTTCAAGAACCTACTGAAAGGTGAAACACTACTATTAGAGGAGTGGCTTGCACTACTTTCTAGAATTCGAGTTCTCTCTTATGGATCGGGTATCTTATTATCTCGTCCCTTTTCTTTTTGAACTTCTAGGGCAGTCAAAGTTCTCAATCTTTTGGATTTCACAAGCAAAAGGAAGAGAATGTCAGTTATCGTCCAGGATGAGACTGGACAGATTCTTCTCTTGTGCAAAGGAGCAGACAGGTATCGCTTATGAATCTATTCATATGGTACCTTAATTCTGAACATTTTTTGATCAATCTTGGAAAAGTTGTAGCTTATGAATCTTTGTTGCTTCATCTTAAGGATCTGATCTAGTATTTACCTGCATTTTACAGCATCATCTTTGAGAGATTAGCAACAAACGGGAAAAAGTTTTTGGAGGCTACTACGAAGCATTTGAATGAATATGGGGAAGCTGGGTTGCGTACACTTGTGCTAGCGTACAAGGAACTCCAAGAGGAAGAATATTATGCGTGGAATGAAGAGTTTACTAAAGCAAAAACTTCGATAGGAGCTGATAGGGAGGCGATGCTTGAAGAGCTATCTGATACGATGGAAAGGAATCTAGTTCTTGTTGGTGCTACTGCTGTGGAGGATAAACTGCAGAGTGGAGTATATATTTCATTTGTGTTGTATCAATTTCTTCGATTTAGTGTTCCTTTCTGACTTATAGCTATTTGCGTTATTCCCATCAGGTGCCTCAATGCATAGATAAACTCGCACAAGCTGGCTTAAAGATCTGGGTTCTCACAGGTGATAAGATGGAAACTGCAATCAACATAGGGTGGGTCTCTGACCACACGAAAGAATTCCTTTGTCGTTGGATTCCAAACTATCGATTTAAATTTTGTTTTATGCAGATTCGCTTGTAGTTTGCTTCGACAGGGCATGCATCAAATCTGTGTATCGACAAACATGGATGGAACAGCCAACAATTCCAAAGAGGTATTGGCTCTGTTTGGTAAAATGGCTGTTAGCTGTTTGTGTTAATTAGAGGGTATAAATAGTTTATAACATTAGCTGATTGTATTATTCAACAAATGTGCCTACAACTCTTTGGGAGAGGTTTTATACTTTTGTTTTTGTCACTCCAGGCTATAAAGGAGAGTATTTCGACGCAAATCACAAGTGGTTCTGAAATGGTGAAGCTGGAAAAGGACCCTCAAGCTGCATTTGCATTGATCATTGATGGGAAAACTCTAAGTTATGCGTTGGAGGATGATATGAAGCAGAAATTTTTGAACTTAGCAGTTGATTGTGCATCTGTAATTTGTTGCCGAGTCTCTCCAAAGCAGAAGGCTCTGGTAATATGTATTCTGATGATATTTATGGTCTTTAATTTCCCTCTCTCTACTAGGCTAAATTTATTGGGTTGTACATACAGGTGACAAGGTTAGTAAAAGATGGAACTGGAAAAACAACCTTAGCAATTGGCGATGGTGCAAATGATGTTGGAATGATTCAGGAAGCTGATATTGGTGTTGGAATCAGCGGAGCAGAAGGAATGCAGGTTGGTAATGCATCTATCATGTATATATACCATTCAATTCAATGTGGTTCGACAAAAACAGGATAAGGAGATTGACTGGAAAACTATGAAAACCGAGATTGTAATATGTTCTTTCTTTGCCTTGATTGCTTTGTAAATGGGGCATTATGTAGCTATCAGTTTGTTGCAGGCTGTGATGGCTAGTGACTTCTCTATTGCAAAGTTCCAGTTTTTGGAGAGACTTCTTATTGTGCACGGTCATTGGTGCTACAAACGAATTGCTCAGATGGTAATGATTCTCCATACTTGTTGCTTCTAAACTTGATCATCTTCGTTTATTCTGATATATTCTGTTTCCAGATTTGCTATTTCTTCTACAAAAACATCGCATTTGGCCTCACACTCCTTCACTACGAGGCGTTCACAGCCTTCTCGGGGCAATCAATCTATGATGACTGGTATATGATACTATTCAATGTGGTTCTTACCTCATTGCCGGTCATTTCCCTTGGAGTGTTTGAGCAGGATGCGTCTTCTGAGATCTGCTTACAGGTTAGTCCTCTAACGCTCTTTCCCATAGACTTCAACCTTCAATCTGTCTGATTATCCCCACATTCTGCAGTTTCCAGCACTGTATCAGCAGGGTCCGAGAAACTTGTTCTTCAACTGGTTCAAGATACTTAGTTGGATTGGAAACGGTTTCTACAACTCCTTCGTCATTTTTTTCCTTAACCTCGTCATTTTCTATGATCAAGCATTCCGAGCTGGAGGCCAGATTGCTGACATGACTGCTGTGGGTACCGTTATGTTCACTTGCGTCATCTGGGCAGTGAACTGCCAGATTGCACTCACAATGAGTCATTTCACATTGATTCAATGTTTTTTCATCTGGGGCAGCATATTGAGTTGGTACATATTCCTTTTTGTATATGGTCTGTTGTCACCAGTTCATTCAGGGAATGCCTTCAGAATCCTTCCGGAGGCTCTAGCTCCTGCCCCGATTTTCTGGTGCACCACCCTCTTAGTAACAATTGCCTGTAACCTTCCATACCTTGGCCACGTAGCGTTCCAGAGATGTTTTAGCCCTATGGATCACCACATCATTCAAGAAATGAAGTACTACAAGAAAGACATTAAAGATAGACAGATGTGGGGAAGAGAGAGGTCAAAGGCGAAATCGAAGACAAAGGTTGGTTTCTCAGTTGCAGTAGATCATAAGATCAGGCAACTCAGGGAGTTCAAAGGGAGACGGCAGAAAAGGTATTCCAAAACGGATAAACATCAAGAAATTCCATAAATATAACTGTGCATTAGAAGAGGAATTGGAAAAAAAAAAATGAAATTCCAAAGATCACATAATTATTCTTGCATTTCCACCAGCAGTATGTTTCTTGAGCATAAAATCCCATCATCAATTTATAAAAAAGAACAATATGAAAAGGAGTGGCAGTAGTAGCCATAGTAGTAGTAGTAGTTCAAAAGAAGAACACATACATAGATATGTGTGTGTGTGTGTTTGTACACATATATGTATATATGTATGTGTGTGTGTGAGTATGAAAGGATCACCACCAAGCAGATACAAGATGGTCTTTGATCCACCTGAAACTCTTTTTGAAAGAGCCCTTCATCTTCCCCTCCACAGCATAGGCCTTGTAACCCACAACTCTCTTCTTCCTCTGCACTTCTGCATCATTAAAGCTCCAACTTCTCGACCCGAAACCAGAAGAAGAAGAAGATGATGATGATGATGAGGAAGAGGAGGAGGAGGTAGAGACTCTGCTCTTGTTTCTCTTCATCTTCATTTCCTTATTATTATTGTTGTGCTCCACGGATGAAGCTGAAGAATAACAAGCAGCATGAGAAGTACTGTAACTTCGGAGACCTTTCATGCTTGTTGGAGGACCACAAATCTGCTTGCTTCCTTCTCTTGTTGAGTTAGATCTAAAATTCTCCATAAAGATTGGTTTTTTTTCTTTCTTTCTTTTGGATTGGAGAGAGGGGAAAAGTGTTGATATTGGGATTGCTTTGTGGTGTGGACTGTGTTTTTATAGTCTGCTTAAAGTGGAGGCCTGCTGTTAATAATTTGAATTATAATGTCTGCTATTTTTCATTGCTCATTAATGATGTGTTTGAATGAGTAAAGTGGAGGAAAGAAAATGGGAGTGAAAATAGGAGGGAAAGAAAATTAGAGAGAAAAAAAAGGGGAGAAATTAGAAGAAATGATGAGATTAGGAAAAGAACAATAAATTATTTTATTCTTCTTTTATTTTAGAAAGGAAAAATATTTTATAGGACGTAGAAATTATTCTCTCCCATGTTGTGGTATTTTCTTTTGAATCTAATTAGGATAAATTAAATGAAAAATGACAATTTTAATCATCTAATTATATTTCTATTATTAACTCCATCCACTATATTTACTTTTTCTCCTTTTATTATTAGTGATTATTTATATTGTTGAATAGCTGCCCATTGACTATGGTTTTATAATATTTCAAGCTAATAATCTGGGTGTTATCATTTCAAATAAATACGAATATAAGAGACCTTACAAGTTACAATGAAGTCATTATGGTCTTACCAGTACACAGTTTAGGGCACTGATGGAGAAATGCTTAACTAATCATTGTTAACAGACTTATATCTAAAGGCAAGCAATATAATAAAAAGCAAAGAGTCAAACAAGATTTTCCTCCCACTACTAATACAATTCATCATACAATAATGTTCATCATACTTACCAATTATATCTATTGCATGAGACTTGTATAGTAACATAAACATAGGATCCTAGTAAGTACCTGGCGTGCTAATTTCGATGAGAGCTGCAGTATATTCTTGTACCAATTTAAAGGGCTGCACTTCAAAGACCAAAGACATGAGAGGAGATTAGAAATATTTTTAGGATAGAATATGAAAACAAGAACAATCATAACAGTTTGGATTTTCAATTACAGAGTAGTCAATTTGTACAGGGGAAATTAGTTGGTGTCCTAGACGATACATGTTACAAGCAGAGGTTCATCTACAACCAGGGAACTGGAGACTCAAATAGTGCCTCCATGCGTCAATTAATTTTATGCACATTATCAACAAACAAACTGTTTACGTCCTCCTCGAACGAAAGTAGTTAAGCCAATAGAACAACTTCACCCTCCATACCTGCAAGTTGTAAGCAAATGCTCTGTAAATGGTAACATGGGGCAAAAAAAAGTGTATTGATAGCATATTAGGAAAATAAAAATAAAAAATAAAAAATCTTACATTGGTCATAGATCTCGGTCACAAACTGTAGCATTGACTCTGCAACTTCAGACAACTTTGACACCCTTTCTGCCTCTTTAACTGCTTCAGCTGCAAGAAAGGACTTGTTTTCTGCCTCAGACATCCTATATGCAGCATACATTGCAGCATCTAGCAATCTTTTACTATACATGTTTAATGTAAGACTCTGGGTTGGCCGAGGTCGGACTTCTTTTTTCTTTGGTGATGGTGTCCTTGTTCCCACAGGAACATCTTTAATCATATAGTTGCATTTCTGGACCTGCATTATCAGGGTATTTGAGAGAATTTAACCAAAACATTTTTTTAAAGGTATTGAACCCTGGAACTGGCCCACAAGTCTATAATTGCTTACCACTATGCCAATTCATAGAGTTAATAATCATGATAAAGTAAAAAATCACAAATTATTCCAAGAAAGCTTGCATTTCATAAGCTGATTGATGCATATGCAAATCACATGGTAACTGTTTTGCCTTTCATCTCGAGGTTGTGATTAAGCAGCCAGGAAAATAAAGTAAACTACCAAAATATGATAATAGCTCCAAATTTTTTTAGCGTAACCATATGCTAGTAGTTCAGGAATCATTATTGATATAAAGTACTAAAAAATTGTTTCTTTAACTTCACAAACAAAATTTAACAGTCAGCCAAATCAAGCAGCATAGGTTTGCTTTGATAAACTTTCAACTAATGAATCAAAACATATTGTAACCACAAACCCAAATAGAACTATGCACTGAAAATTATAAAATGTGATGATCAACAATCTCATCTCCTAACATGCCCATCTCTTAGGATAAGATATTCATATACCTTTTCAACTTTCCCTTGCAATACAAGTCTTCTCATCTTTGAACTCAATAACCTTCTAAAATTGGGTGGCACTTCATACCTTTGCTGCATTAGGGAGCAAAGCGCTTAGCTAATGAAAATATTTCAGTCAAACTAAAACAGACAGATTAGAGAAAAGAAAAACACAATGGCATAGAGACACCAGTATCCCTCAAACACCAATACTGATAATTAAAAACTCTAATTGCATGGACCCCACCCTAGTTTTTCCACTTTAATGTGAACATCACATTCACAATTCTAAAACAGGCTAATTAACTGCTAGTGCTCTCAAAAATATTCAACCCCTTGTGCAGCCACATCAATTGAGCTTGTATTTCACCCTGTACAAGAGTACCATTCTTACCTAAGTCCTAAACACTACTAGTTCACGTTTTTAAAAATAATAATAGATTAAAAAAAATTAAAATTTATTATTAAAAAAAAAAAAAAAAAAAAAGTAAATCAAAGAAAATACTTTTTGAGCTCATATGGGTAGTTATCCAAGAATGTAGCATCGAACTGGAGATTTAAAAACTGACTTATTTAAAAATAAAAATTAAAAAAGGAGGGAGATTTAAAACAACAAAACTAAATGCAACCAACCTCAATGAATCCCGCAATGGCACCAATATCAGATCCATTTGGATCTTTGATGGATGAAAGTGCTTCAAAAATCATCTCACTGTACCTGCAAATATGGCAGACATTTGATCTCCGTCAGAACCACTTAAAATGTGCAAGATTTGTTACCCTTTATTTCCTAGACCTCTCTCTTTGTCTTTCAGTATTTTCCTTTTCCAGTTTGTCATTAGAGTGAAATCAAATGAATATATTCCTCCTTCAGTGGGAGTGGGTAAGGAGGTTTATTTGAAGACACATAGTTTCCATAAGTATGTCCATCCATTTTAGATATGTTGATGCCGGTTTGCCAAACCCCTTCACAATGATGACACAAAAAAGGGGAGAGCAAGGAGTGACACACCGTGGGACATTTCTGTTCTCCTGTGAGCTTTTACATGGATCACAAATGGCATCATTCTCAGCACCAGTAGTAGTTGCTCTACCACGACTAGCCCTAGATTTTTCTCCACTGCCCTGTGCCGCAACATTACCATTCAAATTTCGCCATTTGTCCTGGACAAAAGAACCAAAGAAAGAGGGATTACATACAAATATTATGCTGATCCAACTAAATAACACATATTATAAGTTAGTAGAGCAGTTGCAACAAATATAACGATTCCAGAGTATATAGTAATAGAACTGCAAATTTCTCAAATAGAAGAAAAAAACTTCAAACTTTTACTGTGTAAAAAAGAACATTATTATATCAAAATAATATAGATACTGAGGTTTCATAAGAAGCTCACTGGATTCCAATCTCTACACTTGGTCACTTTTCATTATCAGAATAGAAGGGTGACAGTACACTTTTCCAGTTTTCCCCATCAAACCCTGGCTTAAAGTAGCAATCATTATGGAAGCAAAACACTTGTTATACCATTTTCCATTTCCAAATCCTTCTCCTAATTTCTTATCAAAAAATAGCAAATCTCAAAGCCATAGCCACATAAGGCATACGCCTTGAGCTTGAGGCACGCACCTCTCTGCAGACTCCGCTCATAAACTAGAAGTAGGACGCCATAAAAATGGCACGAGCTTTGAATTTATAAGTTAATTGAGCACAATCACATTGTTACACTCCGGAGAATAATCGCATTGAAGTCACAATTTAGTGATTTACACTAAACCTAAGGGTAAGGGGCGAAGACAATAGAATGTGATTCCAGGAAAGAGGTGGGAGAAGAGAGAGACCTTGAGGTCGATGTTAGAGCGAGAAGTGAGGGAGGGACCGAATTCAGGATCTCTGAGGATGTTCTTCCACTTTCCGGTGCCGTGCTTGGCCACTCCGGCTTTTAGGGCTTTCTCTTCCTCCGACGTCCACTTCTGCTTTTGGTTCCCCATCACTATCCTCTCTCAAACACACGCAGCTAGCTAGGTTGCCAGAATGCTAGCGAAACAGAGATTACAGTCTTTCAATCTACATTTAATCGAGACTTTTTAAATATTTCTTATTGGTTCGAATGTCTGAAAATTTCGAGGACGATGAAGAGCCACCTTAGCTACGGGTTTAGGTCGCTGGGACCACGAAGTAGCTTTAAGAATAGACCTAACGCTAAAAAAAAGAGTTACAAAAATCGCTAAAGTTCACGCAAAGCTCATGCAATTCGCCACTAATGGAGGATAAATACAAATCGGTGGAAAATTCATCACGTGAATGCCAAGATGCACCTTCACAAAATGTGTTGTGTCTAACTTATTATGCAACTGAACTGATATATATTTATAATTAATATAAATGTAATTTAAAAACCCTCAATCAGAGCTTTTTAATAAAAAAATATATGTTATACATTAATTTTATCTGAAAAAATATATAAATAAAATTATTAATTTATTAAATTAAAATTTTAAATAATTATATAAATTTATCAACTACTCCTTTCTTAATCAATATTACAAATTCTGTTTCATTATAAGTACAATAAATAGTAATTGTTTTATTATAAACAGTTAGCTCATTTGAACACATTATGAACTAATTAAACTGGATAATGATGTTATATCCCCTTCATTGTCTATATTTATAAACAAACTTCCCAGAAGTTTTTTTTTTTTTTTTAAAGTAAATCAAGTATCATCCAATAATCAAATAAAACAATTTTATTTCCAACACATTATGAACTGATAGATCTGGATAAAGATTGTTTCCCCTTTATTTTCTATATATTGATAAGCACACTTCTCTGACTTATAATGTAAATCAAGTATCTTGACTAAAACAGTTGATAGGACTGATTGGCCTGGATACTGATTTTTATCCCCTTCGTTAATAAGCAAACTTCCCAGAGCTCACCATAGCTTGGGGGCTGAAGAAGTGACTAGAAGCATCTGAGTGTGGATAGGACGCATCAGAGACGAAACTTACTGGCCCCGACGGTTCACAGAAGTCAGCAGCACAATAAGAGAAGATATCTGCAGCCTGGAATCGGAGATTTGAATGGTTGATTTGGTTCGGAAGTGAAGGCCTCGTGTCATTGGCATGGCCCCCGAGATTGCTCATGAGTTGGTTTGGAAATGGAGTGTTCTCTGATGATGAAGCATTTGGCATAACATAGCTGCTAGAGTAGATTGAATGCAGGGGTGAAGGACTCCTGCTACTAAGAAGACTGCTCCCTCCTCCTCTGCTGCCTCCATCAAGGAACTCGGGTCTAGCAGGACGCCTTGGAACAACCTGCCTATATATTGTTCATTACATTCGTTATTCGGAAGGCATGCAAGAGGAGTTATACAAATATACAAATATAGAATATCATTAGATGATGAGAGGATGATGAAAATTTCTTACTTGGTAAGATCCTCTGGATATGGGGCATTGGGTAAAGGATTTGGCAGAGAAGATGGCTTATGGAAACCAGGCGGCGGTGGTCGATTGGCTAATTTAACAACTTGAACTTTCACCCTTGATACAGCATAGACTGTGCAGAAATCTGGGACTGATTTTGCCAAACTGCTTGGGATATCAAGCTGCTTGAATGCTCTATCAGAGATTGAAGCTCAAGAATCATCAGAACTTATGTTGGATCATCAGCACATCATCATAACATGTCTAATAACATTCCATATGCTCAAACCATATACCTTACTATAGCATTCCGGTTTGCAGCGCCAAGAACAATGGAGCAAATGGCATTCACATTCACATACTCAGCAAGTGCACTTGTAATATCAGGGCAAATCAGAACCACTTCCTTTGCTCGCACCTGAAACACTCAGACTAGTTTATCAGCAGAAACATCAATCTTCCTTATATCAAGCAACACAACTATTCCATGGAGTAAAAGTAAAACCAGTTGAAATTGAAAACACTACTCTGTATTACAAATAAAATGGTAGAAAACTTACACCCTTTCGAGCACACATTCCACGGTAAGGGAGGAAAAATTGTGTCATGGATTGGTGGAATTCATCGTGTTTCTGTAAACCGCCATCCTCCATGATCTTTTCTTTGAGGGCATGCTCTATGATCAATAATCAAATAAGAGAATTAACGCAACAAACTAGGGGCTAACCAGAATCCTAAATCAATTCCCATTTCAATCCGAATGAAAAATGGACAAAATTTTTCTCAGTAACAATTTATCGAACACCTTGGATGAGCAAACCGAATGAAAAATGGACAAAAATTTTCTCAGTAACAATTTATCGAACACCTGGGATGAGCAAAATGAAGGCGAGAGATACCTACGGTTATGCAATTTGGTATGGACATGGACAAGGACGATTTCTCGGATTCCGGGGGGGGAGATTGTCGAGGGTCCATCTAACGGCGTGTTGACTGTTCCTGTCTTTATCAATGGCCACCGTTGTGGCGAATCTGGCCTCCTGCGAACTTTTATATACCATGTCGATCTCGGATGTCAATTTTCTACGTTTGGATTTCGTGCTCTGGACCGGCTAGCAACAAATGCCGGCGCTCCACCGTCTTGACCTAGTCACCACCGATCCAACACCAGCGTGCGCCCCCACCTTGATCGACGATGTCCCCAAACAATCAGAATGGCTGTGCTAAATTGCCCTCCGCCGGAAAACTCATAAATTCACGATGAATACGAGTTTCCTGAGATTTTTAAATAAACAATAAAGCTGTTGTTCAAGCCATTCATTAAATAACATATTTACGAAAACTTGAGATAAGAACCGGAAACAGAAAATCTAAGAATGTTAATTTTAAAAAAAATTGAGAAACAACGGACATGCTCGCGTAAATATATTTAAGGGGATATTATATTCGCCATCTTGACGTCACCGCCCGGAGATATATTTAGGGGAAACGGCCGGCGTTAAGCACCGGTATCGACGTATAGTTTCCAGACTTACAGCATCTGGAACGATGGTGCTTAAAAAGGATAGACAGAACGATGAACAGAAGAAATCCGAGAAAGCGGGAAGAAATCGTTATGAAGATGAAAAATTAAAATACATGGGCTTATTTCTTCAAAAAGACAAAAATACATGGGCTTATCCTTTTCTCATAACAAAATACATGGGCTTATCCATTCAGGCCCAAACTAATTTTCTTCTTCCAAAAGGTTGAACCCCTACCGTAAGGGCCCCCCATCCCGGCCCGATAGAGCATTTGGGAGGATGTAAATCATGGTGACTCAACTTAACATGAACCACAGAGGCTAGACCGGTGCCAAACTAATTATCTTTGTTAAGTGGTCCATTGAATGATGGCAAATTATGCTGTGCATCCGTGTGCACTATGTGCCAAAACGGTGTCGTTTTACTTAAATAAAAAAAATTCATTCTTGATTTCCGTTAGTTACGTAAACATATGTTCATAATTTTATAATTTCACATCCTGAAATTATAGTTATGAAATTATGGATGTGGAGTTATGCAATTCTAGATTTATAGTTATGAAGTTATGGATGTGTAATTATGCATGTAATTCTGAATGTATAGTTATGAAGTTATAATTTCACATTCTGAATGTATAATTATGAAGTTATGGATGTGTAGTTATGCAATTCTGAATGTATAGTTATGAAGTTATGGATGTGTAGTTATGCATGCAATTCTAAATGAATAGTTATGAAGTTATGGATATGTAGTTATGCAATTCTGGATTTATAGTTATGAAGTTATGGTATTATGGATGTGTAGTTATGCAATTCTGAATGTATAGTTATGAAGTTAAGATGTGTAGTTATGCAATTCTGGATTTATAGTTATGAAGTTATGGATGTGTAGTTATGCAATTCTGGATTTATAGTTATGAAGTTATGGATGTGTAGTTATGCAATTCTGGATGTATATTTATGAAGTTATTGATGTGTAGTTATGCAATTTTGAATTATTATTTTTTAAGTCGGACGTCAAAACGACGTCGTTTTTGCAATTGTGTGCACCATGCATGGTGCACACGGTTGCACAGCATAACGCTCCTTGAATGAGTGAGCATAGCAAGATTAAAATCTCTCAGATTTCAACCCCCAACCAGTTTATACCAACCCAACCATCTGCCTTATCCCCATCCCCATCAATAGTTATGCTGTGAAACCGTGTTCATCATGTGCATGGTGAACACGAAATAAATCCATAATTATTATGGATCTATAGCATAGAAATTATGGATCTCCAGAATTTCTATATTGTATATTCATAATTTATATACCGTACTGTAGATTCATAATTTCTATACTGTATATTCATAATTTTTACAGCATACAAATTATGGATCTACAACATAGAAATTATGGATCTACCCCTGTGTTCACCATGCACATGGTGAGCACGTTTCCACGACATAATTTGCGCATCCCCATCCCTCTCAATATTTATTCATTAAGGTCCGTTTGAAAAGCAGGAAAATGACTTCTTGAAAATATTTTTTGAAAAATGAGTCAATTTTCTAAAAACATTTTCATTTCCTGTATTTGGCTGCACAACGGAAAACTGTCGTTTTGTGTTTGGTTCATTTTCTAGAAAATGAACAGAATTGTAGACTTCAACATTTTAATTGTTATATATCTAAAAATATATTTTTTATTGTTCTATGTAGAATATAACAATTTTTATTTCATTCTCACACAAGATACTTATTATGTAACTTTCTCGTTCATAGTTTCTATTGACAATGTCATGTTTTATTTGGTTTCTATTCTTAAGTTGTTGCAATAAAAGAACTCCAATAGCTAGTATAACACTTGCTGCACACATAACAGTTGCACGCACATGATTTTTATCCATCTATACAAACAAAAAAAAATAAAATAATATGACAAAAAATAACCACAATTAAAACTAGCACATAACCACGAATAGAATTTTGCAAACTCAACCAAAAGACTCCAATTTAGCATTAATACCAATAAAATTTTTAGAAATAAGATACATAAACAAAGTGGTTTCCGCAGCCACAGCCGGAAATCAGTTCTAGTTTCCGATGCGAAAACCAACTAGTGAGGAGCCTTCCTCTGGCTGTGAGGAGGAAAACCCACAACCGGAAAATATCTATACTTCTAGATATGTCAGGAAAAGGAAAAAAAAAAATTCAAACTGAAAAAATGATGAAACATACATGTGTAGCTTTTGGTGGAGATTTGTTGGTGAAGCTGGTTGTGGGATTGTTGGTGGAGATTTGTTGGTGAAGCTGGCTGTGTGAGTTTTCTGCCTTTCTGATGATGGAGGCGGAGCTGCTGAAGAGTGAACCAAAAAATGCAAA